AATAGCATAAAATATTTTCTCAATAAATTACTTAAAAATATCCGAGAAATTAGAGATGACCGACTATCATTATATAAAGGGGAAATCCGTTCTTTACTCGTGAAGAAATGTAACATAGTTTTTTATGGGCAATATACCAGATACCCTAAATAGTAGATATTCGTGGAGAATAACCATCAACATGTGATTTAGAGGTGAGCCTAAAATTATTAAAATTGGGATGCCACTCAATCTACTAGAAACTGCTCATTTCTAGCATTTGTCCAATGAATATATATTTTCCATACCACCATCATAAAAAAATTATTCTAATCTTTGTTTATATTAGAATACCTTTGTAGGTCATAAAAACTGATGGATTTGATTGTGCTTCGGAGACGTCGACTGACAAAGACCTTGATGTAACGATGATGGAGGGGGCTAAGAATTCAACGAGTTATACACAACCAAAAGAGGTGCATGCAAATAATTGTTCTTTTTTGTATGTATGTTGCACATGATATAATACTCAAAAAGTATATTTCTATATATATTTAATTTTGTAGAATATGAGAGAGATGGAGATGGATTATGTCGGGGTTAAAAAAAACCATTCAGAGGGTTTTTGGGGCGACGTCATTGAAAAGGGACAAAAATTCACCATGTTTTATACAACAAAAAGATGTGCAAGTGATGATATCCCACAACAACGATGCACTCAAAATAAAGCAAACCGGCTGGAATTGCCATAAATGGCAACATTTATTTCCAACTGGTATTCCGATGAGTAAGTTCAATGATGTTAACATAACTCAAGGAAAATATTTCAAAAGCCCGTAGCAACGCACGGGCGTTCTACTAGTAGTAGAGATTTGGGCGCCACACACATGGTTTCATCGCTCATTAAATAGAATATGAAGATTCAATCTAGTGCGTTGATTCCTGATCCAACGGCCAGCTGGGAGTCCTCGAGTCGTCAACACACAACACTGTACGTATCGGACACACAGTTCACACCTCCGCGTCCGTCACGTACTCCGGCGACTCTCACCGCCGGCCCGATGGCCCCTCCGCTGCGCCGGCACCACACCCGGCCCCCCACCTGTCGTCCGCCGCCGTGCCTCCACCGCGTGACCTCGCTTCGTCCTCCTCCTGCCCCAACACCTCGTCTACCCGCTCCGCCTCTCCCAGTCTCCCTCCTCGCGCTCTCCTTGCTCTCCGCGTTGCCGTCCTCCTCCCCGCACGGCGCCTCCCTCTCCCTCTCCCTGTCCCGCGCATCCTCCTCCCAGTACGCTTCCGCATCCTCGTCCCTCTCCCACGCTTCATCCCTCTCCTCCTTCCCACCTGCCGCCACTGTCGCCACTGCCACGCTTCGGCTTCTCGCCACCTCTTCCGCCTCCGCCGCCGTCCTTCACCCGTCACTACCCGCCAGAATCACTCCGGAGTCAGGACCAATATTCGGCTTCCCACGTACCGTTCTCTGTTGTCAAGATTCATCAGCTCACCCTTGCCCGCGTCCTGTTCGATGCAATGCCGCACTCTTTGTTCTTATGAAATGCTGCAGTCTGGTGTTCGCCTGGTCCTTCGCGCCTCGCTGCTCTCCTGGTCCTAGGCCCTGTGACTGGGTCACCCTCCGCCTCTCCCACGCGGGCCTCACCTTGCTCACCCTCTGCGACTCATCCGGCATGGTCCAGGTGAGTGAGCCATTTTCGTTTTGATGTCGCTGGTGCCACCTTGGTTGTCATTGTGTTATTGCTCAAAACCTAGGGGAACATCGGTTCATGATCTCGTAGCTGCGAAGTCCTGATCATTGTGATGTACTCTGTGGAGTAGTTGCTGCTATCTTGATATTTCTTTCTTCACAAAAGTAAACACAGTAGCCACCGATGTCGTATGATCACGTAACTCACACAGGCGAACAAATATTCTCATCCCCTTTGTGGTCTATGTGAAAAGAAAATCTATGCAGTGTCTGGTTTATTGATACTAATTCTTACAAGATTACCAGTTCTAGATTTGATGTTTACTGTCATTGTTGTTCAAACTGTATAGAGATTTCAAGCCCTGGGTTTATTCTACTCTATCTGCAGGCGACAGCTCTGCCAGAATACCTTCAAGCTTACTCTATTGTGAATAGGCTGAGAGTGGAATAAGCCGAAAAGAACTGTCCCACAGTGGTTGCTGTCGAGGGGTGGTGCGGGTGTGCGGCTGCACCCGACAGAAGCCATCAATGAAGACTGGGGCTATAGAGGTACTGACTGGTCTTTATGGTACTTTATTTAAATGTCTTTTGGTAGGAAAGAGGTAGAGTCGACTCAGCCTGGTTAGAATTTCAAATTTACACTATCTAGTATAGAAATGCTACTCTACCTTCTGCTGTGACAGATCAGCAGTAGGGTGTACGTTTTCTCCAAAAGCTGTATGTGAGGTCACTCTGTTATGTATCTGTTCCAAGTTGTAAGACTGCAGGACACTGTTACTTCCGTGGATCATAACAGAAATGGGATCAGGATCTCACTTCAAAAAATGAACTATTTTATATTTGAACCATATGCTACTCTTTGATTTGGTTCAGAATATTAATCAGAACGTTCAGTAGTAGAACATAGAAAAATAATAATACATTTATTTTTGTTATATTTCTTTTTTGGGTTTGTTGAAGCTGCTTGTCATTGTGACCTGAACCCCAAATAAAGAGTATTAATTGAAGTTGTTTGTTGTGGCCTGAACCCAAAATAAAGCGTAGTTAGCTCAGTTGGGCTGAGTATATGACTATGAATACACGATTAGCGCATCGAACTGGTTGGAGAACACTGAGAACTCGTGCTTCCCTTTTTCGCATTGTTGTCATTCATTTCTATCACCTTCACGTGTCTAGAAATTACTAATTGGACATTGCCACAAACTAACTACCCACGGTGTGTGTTTGCTACCTTCCTTTGGGACTCTATAGGAACATTTCCAACTTCACTGTGAAACTGATGTTGCTACCTCTTGAGATGATACACTCACACCACCTTGTCAATTGTTTTGGAAACTGTGTTTAAGGAGTAATACATTTTCATCTACTAGAATATGAGCACTCGAAATTCTGTAATACGCAACAAATGACATGTTTATTAGCTTATTCTGTTGTACTGTAGCTGAACACCTTTTTTCTTGCCTCACCTTGTTCCATTTCCATTCTACTTCTGTATTCCCTACCATGTCTATTTCTCACCTTCTCTTTCCGTACTTCATAGTTATATGTACTTTTCAGGACAAAGAGAAAAATGAACTTTCTGAAAAGGGAACACAAATAGTAGAGCACTGATTTTTTTGATATATTGACTGGATATTCTTCCTATATTTGACAATAGCATATCATAGTAAATTTCACCTATATTTGCAAGAACAGATTGGTACTATTCAATGATCAAAAGAGTGGTGTCTCACGACAGTCCTTTTAACTCTTGTATAGGTTGTATGAAGTACCAGAATACTGATGTTTGGTTTTATAATCCAAAAAGGAGTGAGAGATGTAAGCAAGCACTTGAATCTGAGAAAGGAATAATGATCAAGGCAACACTAGTTGTCTGGTTCTGAGAATTTATCGTTGGGAGAGGAAATTGATGAGACTGAAATGTCATGCTTGGAGTGAAGAACCCGATGAAACTCCTGCAAAGAAAAAGTCAATGGATGTTAAACAAGTGGGGAGGAAACCTGTGTCTAAGGTAAAAGAAAAGGATTTGCAATAAGGATGATGGGAAAGAAGGCTAAATCAATAATTCTCTTGCTTTGAGCAAGAATCAACTTGCTAAGGCATCCAAGGAAAGCAAAGCTACAAGATCTGGAATACCTATCATAGTCAGTGCTACTATTTATTATCACAACATTTTCTTACATCTTCAGTAGGCTTATGTAAACAATCTATTGATCTTATGCTCCAGATCATAGAAATACCAATCTAATTTTGCTCTTCGTTTATGCTTTAATATTATTCCCACCCGAACAAATAAAAAAATATTAGATCAAACTACAGTTGGGTCAAGGGTATGTTTCGAAAATAGGGGTTACAGAACACTGCACAGAAAATAAAGACCATGCGTAAGTACTTTTCTGAAAACTTGTTTCATTTGAAGGCTTACTTTTGTTAGTTTATGCAGATAATTGTGCCCCAGCACTGTACGCTGACTTTTCTATGGCTTCTAGTACAAGAAAGGAATAGAATCAATAAATGCTTCCACTGTCTAAAAAGAGAAGGGAATCATTATCCAAAAAAGAGAAAGGAATAAAGACCCTAGCTTGCAACACCTGCTAGGTATCTCGATGATATTTGAGCACATGTATATAATGATGACACAGATGAAATCATCCCACCTATAACATTCAATAGATATGATCATACGATAGGCACACACATCCAGTTAAAGGCGGTGCATGTGAGCTGGGTGCTCAATACGGAATTACTGGAGCATTCAGTGTCTCAGCCAACAGGTATGCCTTGATACACCAATTCCAATTTTCACATATATTATATATTGCTAGGTTTTTGCTGAGCATCACGTAATTAGAGGCTATGTTGGCATTGCAACGTCATGCTGATACTACTAAATTAAGGCGCCGTTTGGATTAAGAGGTAGATAGGAAGAGTAGAAATGTGGGATTGGGATATATCCATTCAACTGCATATATGTATGTCCAAACAGCTCCTAAAAAGACTGCGAGAATTTCCCAGAAAAATAAATTTTGGATAAACATCTAAAAAATATACTAGATGGAAGACATCATCTACCTACCTACCCACATCATGCATACGACACGGTCAACATACTTGATATGTTGTTTGACGAAAGTACTTTAATCATGAGTCATGAATTCTCTGCTATCTGATGTTATTTTTCTTGCTTAATTAGTCTAGCTAGCTAGATGCAGAACATACCCTGATTGCATCTAATTATTAGAAACCGCTGATGTCCATGCAGTTGCAAATCAAGAGAGAGCCGGCTAACTAGGATTGCCAAGAGTACGCAAGTCGATCCATGGCAGAAGCTTCAAAGTTTATTACCATTATGCAACTATTCAGCGACTGGGAAATCCATGTATTGATTCTCTTGAGCTTTTGCCTGCAACTATTCCTCTTCTTCTCCGGCAGCCTTCGGCGCCGCCACGACCATAGGCTGCTTAGGATCATGACATGGTTGTCTTACCTATCAGCTGATTTCACTGCAGCATATGCTCTGGGCCTTCTTTCACGCGAGGTTGCTACCACTTCCACTATAGACAACAATGATGATCATCATAAATCAGTGCCCAGTGAAACCCCTCATCAGCTCATGGTATTGTGGGCACCATTCCTTCTTATCCATCTTGGAGGACAGGACACTGTGACTGCTTTTTCATTGGAGGACAATGAGCTGTGGTTGAGGCACCTGCTGATGCTGCTAGGCCAAGCATGCCTAGTTGTCTATGTGCTGTGGAAATGGGTGACATTGTCATACTACCAACTTTTAATCTCGGCTGCATTGTTGTTCGTTGATGGGATCATCAAGTATGGGGAGAGGATTTGGGCACTCAAGTTGGGGAGTCAGGAAGGCCTCAGGAGTTCCACTAGCACAGAAGCTAAGAAAGCATCCCTTCAATTTGGACTAGGATTCAGTACTGAAAGAAAAGAGCAGACCTATCAAGAAATTGTTAGGTATGCTCTTCTCAGGGAGCGAGGCGTGCGGGATATATTTGCTGGACGGAAACTCTTCGACATGGACGATTTAACTCGCGAGTACTTTCTGTATCAATACGATCGGGAGGTTCCGAGAGGGGATGCCCAACTGAATTTCAAGAGGGCGGAGATCGAGCTTAGCATAATGTATGACAGCCTCTACACAAAATCTCGGGTGATTCAAACAAGGTCTGGCGCCATCCTTCGGTGTGTCTCCTTCGCCTCCATAGTGGTTGCCTTTGTGTTCTACGTCAAGTTGATGGTGAGTAGTAGTGCCTATGCCGAGCAAACACCAGCAGTACACAACAGCGTCGAGTACAGAAGAAGTAAAGTTGATGTTGCCATCACCTACATATTATTCATTGGAGCAGTTTGCTTGGAAGCTTGCTCATTCTTCGTTGTGATGATCATGTCACCGTTGGAGTGGCCATTGTTGGAAGCTCGAGCTGGATGGTGTCGTGTGCTGCTCACTCGAGTGGCCTGGCCTATGTTCATGAGGATCCAACCAGAGACCAAGCCGTGGTGGTCAAACTCAATGGGACAGTACAACTTCTTGAGCTCCTGCTGCAACAAAAGCAGAAGCACGGACAGAAGGTGGAGTAGCACCGTCATCATGTCAAAGATGGCAGGCGTATTTGGAGCTAGTGAGCTGTGGAACAAGATAAGCAACACCAAGCATGCCCACGTCACAAGGGAGATGAAGGAGCTTATCCACGAAACAATAGGCCATGATAGGGGGTGGCTTCCTGAGCGCATCTGCGTTCCAAGTGCTTATAGATCACTACTTGTCCTCCCCTTCGAGAAGGCCTTGCTGTCGCTACACATTTGGACAGATGTGGTGATGCACAAGGTGGCGAAGTCGGTGATGGTTAGCAGCAGTGGTCGGCTCCCGATTGACATGGCCGCCCAAGAGCAAGACCAAGAGGCAGCACAGCGGTGGCGGCGTCTTATGGATAACTGCAAGAGGCTATCTGAGTACATGTTGTACCTGCTGGTGGCGCAACCTGCCATGCTACCTGTGAGCAGCAACGTGCAGGATTTTATGGTAGCAGCGGCTGCCTCAGACTGGTCCAGGGGTGCCTCCTCCAACAGAAAGGTGCAGGATTTTATGGTAGCAGCCGATGTTGCCTCCAGAAAGGAGAATTTTCTTGAGTGGTTGCCTTCAGAATATGAGGGTCCTGGTCTGGGCTTCTGGGAGGAGCAAAGGGTGGTGCTAGAAAATCAACAGGGCATCAATGCCGAGCTGGCGATACTAGAGAAGGTGTGGGTGCGGATGCTCGTCTATGCAGCCGGAAAGTCCCGCCCGGAAGAGCATGCCCGGCGCCTGAGCACTGGGGGAGAGCTCATTACCTTCGTTTGGCTGCTGATGGCGCATCGGCGTACTGGTGACGTGGAGCGCAGTATCAGCCTTATCAAAGATGATTTCAGCGCAGGACATCTTTTCGAGCTATCTACTGCTAGCATACCATACTGCAGGCAAATTGAGATGGAGGAGTCAATTACTACTTGACTTAATTGATTGCTTCCATGCTGGTGTGGTGTGGTGGGTAAACTCAGTCCATTTTATCTGATATTTGTTCATCAATTTTGCACTGTATCTCTGCTTATAAAAATGATTACCTTTACCATTTCTTGTTTAAATGCATGCCAGCATGTATGATTGATTTGTGTGTTGATATCACGGCGCATTCACACTGAGCTAGTTTTGCTCCAACAGGAGACCCAAGGAGTGGTCTGAACAATATTGATGCACTGCACATCTATTTCAGCACAGACTCCGGCCGTCAGTTATGGAGACGTTGCTATATGTGCAAAGGGTAGTCATGACATTGCTTGCTTCATCATCGCAATAGCAACTGTCCATGGTGAGGTTAATGCCCTGTACTACGGTCCGCAGTAATAAATAAATAAATGCCCAGAAATATCAGTAGTCGGTTCTTTCAGGCCTGGTCCATTGAGGGGGTGGGGAGGTGGTGCTCGATAGGATCAGGCGGGGGTTTCCCTTCCTACTCTCTCTTCCTTGTATGATCTTTAATTCATGCTGTTTTTTTTTTTGGCTTGGCTAGCTAGCTGCTCAACTTGTATTGTGCCCGTGATGTTGTAATAATAGGCTAGTTGCTTATATGTATTAACAAGAAGTTGTTCGATCTTCTTTACATTTATGCCTGCTACTGCTAGCTAGCTGTTTACTTATCCTTATCAAGGCCACAAGTTTTTATATATGTTGCTGAATCTTATAAGCTTGCATTGTTCTTACATGCAACTTAATTATAGCTTCATGCTTTAATCTGACTAGATGACCCGTTGCGTCAATGACGCAAAGGCCATGTGTAAGTTACTTATTGTGAGAGAATGCATTAATATATTTGTTGCTTGAAAAGAATAGCTCATGTACTATATGCAGTGAGCACATAAGATTGGAAACGATGCACAAAAGAATAGCTTATATACTATATGCGGTGAGCTCATATACTATTTTCACCATAGAAGCAGCAAGGGAAGACTAAAGTTTATATATAGCTTGCTCGGAGTTCTTCGAAAGGGGAAAGATCTTGGTCTCATTGATATGAAACAAAAGGTGGCCGTTTTAGTAACCATTGAAGCATGCTGGCCAGGATACATTGACCAAAGTCTATCAGAAACTATCTCTGGTTGCTTCGAGACGTTGCTCAAAACTATAGGAGATCCAATGTCGGTCGGAAAGATAAATATCTTTTTTAATTATCTCACATCACACTTGTTTATGTGAATAAAAACTCTTAGAGAATATAGACCTTCAAAAGGAAAAAAAAACTCCTTGGGAATGGATGGTTGGGAGCGCTCGAACATGTGTATTCGTTCGGTCGCTTGCTGTTCGGGGAGAGTAAACTCTAGGTGGCTAGGGCAAACTCTCCCCTCGAAACTTCACCGGCGAGCCCGTGGATTCACCTTCCCTTTTCTACCGCTCCGTCGATCGATGATGGGGATGGGAATCTCGATGCCTTCGATTCGGTTAGTAGTTTAGGTCAGGTTTTTTAGTCCTCACAGGTCGACACTCGAGTGGATGATGGCACTACTTCTTCGAGTTTGTCTTTCAGTCCATTTGAACATAGCCAACGAAGCTCTAGCGTAGATTTCTGTCGTCTCCTTGGGGTGATGAGGTTAGGGTTTCTCGTCATGTGACGGGATTTGATGTCAGATGCTTCAGATCTAGGCAAGGGTTCAACAATGACGATTGCGGCTCCATGTATTGAACAAGGGGCGCATGCATGAAGACTTCCTGGCTAGCGTCCGCGACAGTAGTGGCTATGCGAGATGGTCTTGGAATCTCAATGTAATTTTTATATGTTTGATATGCTTTGTATTTTCAATGAACATTGATATAGATATGGATCATTTTTGAAAATAATAATTGAGTGGTAAGATTTTGACCGGTCGTCACACTTGTTTATGTGAATAAAACCTATTCCCTCCGTCTCATAATGTAAGACGTTTTTTGACACTGATGTAGTGTCAAAAAGTATTTTATATTATGGGACGGAGAGAGTACCTGAGAATAATAGACCCTTTAGAAAGAAAAGAAAAACTCCTTGGAAGTAAAGTTTTTTTCTCCCCTTGGAATAGATGTCTGGCACCTGCGAGCGCTCAGATATGCATTTTCCGGGTGGGCCACAACATTCACGGGTGCAACCGACAGTTCACGGGTGGGCAGGTGCAAGCGGCAGTGGGACACAACGTTCACGGGTGGACAGGTGCAAGCGTTGTGGGACACAATGGTTCCGCGGGAGCAAGCGGTAGTCTGGTGTGTGTGGGTTTGGTTGTGCCCGTGTCCTCTCATGGGGACAGCCACTCAGTTCAGCTCTGGACAAAGGAGACTCATGATTTGGATCCGCCATGTTGTTCCGGTCGTCGGTGCTGCTTCCCCGGCTGCTTCTTGGGCGGAGGAGGGAGCTCGGTTGCTTCTTGGGCGGAGGAGGGAGCTCGGTCCATCTGTTCGCCCAGCCGCCCAAATCCATGGGGGACATGTCCACGATTCAACGCCCGCCCGACGTTGTCACCAAGGTAATAAATATTCCATTCTAATCCATCCACGACTGACTGTTATTTCGATTCTCCTAAAGAAGCATATTCGCTTGATTAGCATGGTCTTCTACAACAGTATTATGCTCATGCAAATCACCATATATAGCAGCAGCTAATTCGACTCGATCGAAAAATACTTACAAAAGGCAAGCTAACATATCATGTACAAAACTGAGATTAATTGAGAATTTTAGTTGTTTGTAAGACCTTCTATAAGATATTGATAGTTTGTTAGAACATTCAGATGTCATTTTGCTTATCAATTTTTCGGGCCGGACCACCCTGCTGTCAAATGCTAGCTCCGCCACTGCCAAGGAGGTATATAACTATCCTAGTTCTGAAATTTAAAATTGAAGTACAAAGTCCGAAGACAGTATATGTAAGAGAACTTGCAATAACTGCAAAGTTCCAAGGTCTAATACAAGAAGATGGAAATTTGCATCTGTACAAAAGATCCCTATGTTTGTCATCGGAAACACTATATACCAAAAAGGATGGCCGTGCCAAAATCATTTTATATTTATATTGAATGAGAGAAAATGATGCATTGCAATGATTCAAATTATTTTATATTTATATCATTGTAAAACCTCCTCGTCAACTACATATTATGTCTGCTATACTGTTGGAAATATGCCTTAGAGGCAATAATAAAAGTATTATTATTATATTTCCTTGTTCATGATAATTGTCTTTTATTCATGCTATAACTGTATTATCCGGAAATCGTAATACACGTGTGAATACATAGACCACAATATGTCCCTAGTGAGCCTCTAGTTGACTAGCTCGTTGTGATCAACAGATAGTCATGGTTTCCTGGCTATGGACATTGGATGTCGTTGATAACGGGATCACATCATTAGGAGAATGATGTGATGGACAAGACCCAATCCTAAGACTAGCACAAAAGATCGTGTAGTTCATTTGCTAGAGCTTTGCCAATGTCAAGTATCTCTTCCTTCGACCATGAGAGCGTGTAACTCCTGGATACCGTAGGAGTGCTTTGGGTGTATCAAACGTCACAACGTAACTGGGTGACTATAAAGGTGCACTACAGGTATCTCCGAAAGTATCTATTGTTTTATGCGGATAGAGACTGGGATTTGTCACTCCGTGTAAACGGAGAGGTATCTCTGGGCCCACTCGGTAGGACATCATCATATGCGCAATGTGACCAAGGAGTTGATCACGGGATGATGTGTTACGGAACGAGTAAAGTGACTTGCCGGTAACGAGATTGAACAAGGTATTGGATACCGACGATCGAATCTCGGGCAAGTAACATACCGATAGACAAAGGGAATTGAATACGGGATTGATTAAGTCCTTGACATCGTGGTTCATCTGATGAGATCATCGTGGAACATGTGGGAGCCATCATGGGTATCCAGATCCCGCTGTTGGTTATTGACCGGAGAACGTCTCGGTCATGTCTACATGTCTCCCGAACCCGTAGGGTCTACACACTTAAGGTTCGATGACGCTAGGGTTATAAAGGAAGTTTGTATGTGGTTACCGAATGTTGTTCGGAGTCCCAGATGAGATCCCGGACGTCACGAGGAGTTCCGGAATGGTCCGGAGGTAAAGATTTATATATGGGAAGTCCTATTTTGGCCACCGGAAAATGTTCGGGATTTTTCGGTATTGTACCGGGAAGGTTCTAGAAGGTTCCGGAGTGGGGCCCACCTGCATGGGGGGACCCACATGGACGTGGGTAGTGGGGGCAAGGCCCCACACCCCTGGTCAAGGCGCACCAAGATCCCCCCTTAGAAGGAATAAGATCATATCCTGAAGGGATAAGATCAAGATCCCTAAAAAGGGGGGATAACAATCGGTGGGGAAGGAAATAATGAGATTTCTTTCCTCCCACCTTGGCCAACGCCCCAATGGACTTGGAGGGCAAGAAACCAGCCCCTCCACCCCTATATATAGTGGGGAGGCGCATGGGAGCTATACACGAAGTTCTGGCACAACCCTACCTCTCTCCCTACTCCTCCTCTCCCATGGTGCTTGGCGAAGCCCTGCTGGATTGCCACGCTCCACCACCACCACGCCGTTGTGCTATTGTTGGATGGAGTCTTCATCAACCTCTCCCTCTCTCCTTGCTGGATCAAGGCGTGGGAGACGTCACCGGGCTGTACGTGTGTTGAACGCGGAGGTGCCGTCTGTTCGGCACTAGGATCATCGGTGATTTGAATCACGACGAGTACGACTCCATCAACCCCGTTCACTTGAACGCTTCCGCTTAGCGATCTACAAGGGTATGTAGATGCATTCTCTTTCTACTCATTGCTGGTCTCTCCATAGATAGATCTTGGTGACACGTAAGAAAATTTTGAATTTCTGCTACGTTCCCCAACAGTGGCATCATGAGCTAGGTCTATTGCGTAGATTCTTTGCACGAGTAGAACACAAAGTAGTTGTGGGCGTTGATGTTGTTCAATA